AAAGTGAATGTTCCTCACTGACGTCGGAGTGATGATTTCATCTTATTAGGGATCCATGACGAGCACCCAAAAAAAAAATTGTTGAACAGAAAGATATTTCCAAGGACCTAATGCCACGCGGCCGTATCTGAGAGGCGAACAGTTGCTTGCTCGAAGACGAGACAGAGGCGTTTCACATAGAGAATTTGTACAATATGACTTCGTTTTTATGATGGAGGGAAAGGTGAATGGTCTAACTCCATGCTTCCACTTACTCCGAATCAAAAGAAAATAAAGCCCAAAAAATGACGTTCCAATATTTTGGAGACTCAGTGAGCCTTCATGGAGCTGACTCCAGTCTCGGCAGACTCATCAGTGAAGTCCTTCACAAACGTTTTGCAGTAAAGGGCAAAGAAGCCACACGACACCAAGCAAGGAACTACCATAACCCAGAACTGAGTAGTGCTGGTGAGCGCATTGCCCTTGTCGGTAGTGAAAACGAAACCGTTAAGTGCCCATGAGATACCTCCTCCAGCAGACTGAGTGCCCTTGTAGAATCCAGCATAACGTGAGAGCGTCTCCGAGTCGTTGGATATAGCACCAATGAGGTAGTTGACGTACACCTGGAAGAAGGCGTCGTACATCCCGTACAGCACGTACAAGATGAAGGGTCCAATGAACCGGCCAGTCTCAAGTCCGGCATCAATGGGGACGAAGCCCTTGGCAGAGGCCTGGTACTCGAAAGCGGCACCTGCTCCAAAGAACACGATCGTGGTTCCCAGCATAATGTAGAATCCAGTCCAGGCACGAGTGGTACGGGGATACTTGGTGTTGTCCAAGAACATGTTTCCGAGGACCCACGAGCCGCCAGCCTGAGCTGCCCAGTAGAAGATGGCCTTGAGACCGTCCGTGCGTCCAGTAAAGTAACCACCAAAGGGGCCAAACTGGTACGTGTAGAACCAGTTGGAGGCCATGCAGGGAATCAGGAGGGTGAGCATGGCAGGGTTGGTGAACAGCTTGAGGACCTCAACGAATTCGCGAAGAACGTTGGTCGGGGGAGTCTCAACCTGCGTCTGGTCCTCACGGATGATGGTGCCAGGGGGCTGAATCAAGAAGGCGACGATGGAACCACACGCCATGAGAACAATGAAGACAAGGTACATGACGTCATTCATGGCAAGCCCGGCTGGGTCGTTCCAGGAGAGAATGGTGGAGAGAGAGTTACCAAACACGGCACCAATGTTGAAGATGACCCAGAAAGTGGCGAAGAAGGTTCCCTTCTGGGATTCGGTGGGGTACGTCAAGCAAATCTGGCCCTGCGCAGCCCACAGCATACCGGCACAGAGACCAATGTAGGCGCCGGAGATGACGGAGAAGGTGTTGGCCTGGTCAGGGACGATTCCCGTCTTCTTGTCGAGGGACTTGAATACATCGTACTGGGCAGCGGCGTAGACAGCGTATCCGGTTCCTCCGATGGCGGCGAGGATACGAGGACCAAGAATGTTGTTGAGACCACCGGCAAGGAGACCCATGATGGCGAAGCAGAGATACAGGGCAGCGTTCTGCTGGTCCTTGACGTTCTGAGCGTGAGGACCATCGGTGGGGAGGGAGTTCAAAGCATTGAACATGCCCGGGCAGAGGAAGCACACGAAGGCGATCACGTACACCTGGGTGCGGGCCTGGTTGAGGGTGTCAAAGAAGCCCATGATTGGATTGCAAGTCTCCGATGAGGGGAAAAATGAGTCTCCTCTTCATTTTATACCGGGGAAGGGAGGGGATCATCAAATATTCTCATTTGATCGGTGAAGCCAGACGCAACGATTTTTTTTCGGAAGCGGTGGCCTGCTCGACGCCTCCCGACTGGCAGACCACGGCTCTCCCCATGTTCCGCGCCGCCCTCCCGTCCCATTCTGTGGCACGGACCAGCATTGCACCGGCCCGTCGTTGCAGCCACAGCACGGCCAGAGCGCAGAGAAACAGACACACAAGTCGTTTAATCAATAAGCACGTCCCATCTCCTCATCGTTTTGCATGAGCCGCATCCTGTCCAATTCCGTGTCTCGTTGAGCACCTGTGTGCACCTGGAAATTAAGGTTTTGGATATTGAGCATCCAGTCAAGCGCTTCGAACCGACCACCACTATAGCATTCCGTTCAGAATGGGTTTGTTGACGAGATATCCGTGATGCTATCCACCGCTGCTCCATCAAAACTTGACAAATCTCGGTAGTGTTTCGTCTCTCGAACGCATCACCCAAACCAGACCGCAAACGATACAACGAAGTCAATCAAGGACCATACAACCAGATACTAAGTCATCTGCGTGAACAGCTAACAGTTCCTATTGCCGACGTTCCAGCAATACACCGACAAAACTGCCATACACCTGAAGTGCAAAGGAGCATGGAAAGGTGGAAAACCCGGTCTTTGCTCCTAGTACCAAAACACGTTGTGTAAGACAAAGGGTAACAGTGTCGTGGAAATTAGATAATTGGAGAATATGCTGTAATCTTGTAATGGGATTGCAACTGAATACAATCAAAAACCAGGTTGGTGAAAAGAAATGAACCGGTGACTAACCCTTCGAGAAGTAGGTTTCAGATCCAAATTTAAATCCCGTTCAATTATATCGAGCACAGACTGTGTGAACATCATTTTCCAGAATTGCACAACGGTCGATGATCCCAACGGAATTCGTAGCCATCAAGAACGCGCCGACTCGATTTCTCTGGCCCCTAGTCGCAAGCCAGGGGTGAAGTCCGGCTGATTCAATGAATATAGTTGCTGCTTTCATTCGCTCTTTTTACTCGCAACTGTGATGGGAAAGAAGCAGCAGTCAAGGTTAAGGACAGTGACAAGAATGCTAACGCATGCAAAAGGCAGCATCTTGAAAAAGTTCGTAATTGCTCCCATGAGAGAGCGGCAACCTTTTCCCACACTGCCAAGAGACTGCATGCCAGCATTTCAGACAACGACCCGAAAAGATGGATGCGGATTTGCAGCGGCGGGAAGCAGTCTGGGCGCAACGCGAAGGCGGCCCGTGACGAAGCACGGTACAGCGGTTGGCCCCTGGGTCCGTGATCCAGGAATCGGATAAGGTAGCGGGACGCCCACGCTTCCGCTCCCGACCACTCCCAATACAGCAGCAGGGATAGCAGACATTCGGAGGAAGTGGTGGCGATGGTGATAATTAAAAGGCAACTGCAGAAACAGGTGGCTCTACCTTGGCCGTCATGGCGATCGGAATGGATCGAGGCTGCTTATGATGTAAGCGTATCAACTCTCTCACTTTTTTATTGGCCTTGCCTCCTTTCTTGAACTACGAATCATAAATATGAAAGGTTGTGTATAGAAGTTGAAACCTCTAATTTCGATGGAAAGTATGAATTCAATCCAAAACAGTCCTATAACACTCATTTAACACTATCTTTCTTCCCCTACATGTAGAGTACGGACGAGTCGAATAGACTGTGTCCGAAAATGCAAAGTAACTCGGACACTGACAAACTCGCACCAAAACAAACCTTAGCCAGGACAACCATGCTGCCATGGCTAGAAAATGCACATTTAGTGGCTTGCTTGATATTTTTTGGCCAACAGTATCCAACAACCTTCAAATAAGAAACCCAACTGGTTAATTGGAAATTAGCCTGCTGTCCTTATTTGGAACTCACTTTGAAGGGTTGTACAGCTCAGGAGTGATAAAAATACGACTGCATTTCAGTGTGCTTGCAGAATATAGGACATCATGCATTCAGGGGTCATTGATGGCTTTGTTCTTTTTGTCTAGGAATCTTGCAGCGAGTGGCTCCACAAAAGCATCCCATACCACGAGTATTTTAGTGGCATTTCAGAAGTAAGCTGCAGAGTTGGAAAGGGATTTCTTAACATGTTGACCAGCAACTCCAAATCTCCGACCACAGCCTTCGCATCTCGTCGACATTGACGGGAATCCATATATAACAAATAAACAAATATGATAAATTTACATTTGTAATAATTTATATAATGTTAAAACACAGTCAGGGACGATGAGCCAGCAGACAATAGTTTGGTCACCTGGCGGGGATCGATCCAGGATTCACTCGTCTCAGGAGTGCTGGCGTCCTGCTTTCAAAACTAGCATGCTCCTCTCAGGCACGAGTTCCCATTCTCGCTTCAGATACCTAGCAACATACTGCCCTCTCACAACTTCCTGCTCAGCTCCATGCCCTTCAGCCAGCAGTTGACTTAGCGAAGCCGACCTATGGGAAACGGCAGACCAGAAACAGATGCAGAAGTAGGTGCTTCGACATGCGCGGCAAGCAAGCAACCATTAAGAAGCAAATCCTCTTCTTTAGTAAAACCTTCAGTGTGAAAACGAACACCACAATCAAGACGGTTACCATCGCATAAAAGTATGATCTTTTGAGGATGGTAGGAATCGAACCTACCACGCAAACATGCGACAGATATACAATTATTCCTACGTTGTGATTATCCTCAGAATTTTTGCTTGGATTCCAAGATCCTGGTTCTTCCTTTATGTATGCAATTATTGATTTCCAAGGTAGAATTTGTTAGTTGTTTATCATTGTAAGGAGGAGTGACGTACATATGGAGTTAGTGTCTGCAGAATGAAAAAAAGTGACTGCTCACCATTATTTCAACTGCTGGAACAAAACACATGGTAAGGCACCTAAAATAACATGGCTGGTTTCTGAAGTACAGGGGATCCAGCTGAATCCCTCAACGTCAATATGGTCCACCAACTGACCTCGGTGGATGATGGTCACGACGTGTATGCAACACGTGGCCACACTACGGTCGTACAATGCGTTGTAGATATTGGAAGTTGCTGACAAGTTGACAAAGGATGAAATAGTCACCGAGAACGACTCAGTCATTATGACTCGCATGATTGATAAGTAGTTCACCAACATCAGCAAGATTGCCCTTTTGGAAGGTGTCCAACCCATAAAGAAGATTGCATTGTTGAGCAAAACAAGCTATTCAGCTCGAGTATAAAAACCATTTTATCGATGCCTTCTACCAGATTTGAACTGGTGGCCTCCTGCTAGCAAGGTTGTGTACTAGGCAGGCGATCTGACCAACTGAGCTAAGAAGGCGCACGAGTTGCTAATAATTGGCTCGACATAACTCCAGACCTTACTAGCTGCCTCCTCCAACAAACCGCAAACCTCCAAGCTTCAATTTATTGTGTGCACTCTTGGAGGCAGGTATTATGTTATGAGTGTTCCGCTTCCACCCAGATAAATCCCCAATAAAGATTCAGCTGCAGTTTCGCATGATTCATATATCTCACAGAGCTTATCTGATTTTGAAGGTTGAAGGTTGCTATCATCCAGATATATCTTAACTATTTTTCTGGCCCAAGAACTCTATAAAAGAAGCAGTGTTCTTATTGAAATAAAGCATCAACTTCTAAATATCTTCCCCTCCAATTCCCTAACATTTGGTAGCACCAGAGGATTATCCTCCTCTTCTGACATCCTTATGACCTCCAGCACCACTCATGTGCCCCTCATTGCTGATCAGCAGTTGCAGCAGCTCGCCCAAGCCTATGCCAATCTCAACCAGACCCACCAGTACCTCCTGGCTGAGCTTGAAGCCATGCGTTGCTCTCAAGCCACCGCTTCTGCCTCCGCTGCCCCCGCCCAGGCCTTTCAAGCCAAGGGTACCACTACTGTAGCCTGTCCCCTCCCCTATTTTAGGATGCCCTCCATTATGCCCATTGCTTTTGTGGGGTCTGGCAAGAACAGACCAGCCCATGAGCTCCAGAACTTCCTGGATGACTACCATTGCTGACTGTACCCACATTGGCCAGCCTACCTACATCCAGTTTGTAGCCTCAGGACTCAACGACAAGGAGCTGGCCTTGAGGAATGGGAGCTTGGCGCGGATGAAGCTGGGCATTGCACTAGAGTCAATCAGGATTGTGACTGGATAGTCTTGGATGGATCCTTGGCAGATGAGAAGGCCTGGGGTATCAGTGAAAGGTAATAAGTGATGCGTGTTATGGCATATAAGTGAGGGTTGGTCAATAAAAGGAAGTTCTGTATGGTCAGTAGGTAAATCTGGTCTAGGCAGGGTTGGAGAGTCAGGCAGGTCATTTGGTTCAAGGGCAGTGTATTTCTTACTGCTCAGAACTGGCAGAACTGGAGTCAAGAAAGGACTCATCTTCAGAATCAGCTTGAGTGATGGCAGTGAGGCATGGCTTGGATGGGTGAGACAGGGCCCTGGGGTGCTGTTCAGACTTGGAAAATGGATGTGGTTGCAGTCTTGAAAGGCATTCAAAGCCTGGAGCTGGGAGCAGCATTCTTGGAGCTTCTGGCAGTGGTCTGTGTTGTGGCTGCATGATTGGCAATAAACACACCAACCTTTGGAGCAAAAATGCTCCTTCTGTTCCAGAATGAGGCACTGGAAGTTGCTGGAAGGGCATTGGTGCTGCTGGGCATTGGACAGGTCCATTGGGTCCTCGAGGTCTGGAAAGGAGTTGCAAAAGGAAGGCATGCCAGAGCACTGGGGGCGTTTGGAGTCATGGGTAGCCTTGGTGCTGCACTGGTTGGCACTGTGGCTTTGGTTGCATCTGCTGTGGCAAAAGGTCATGTCATCGAGCTTCTCTGCCTCTTGTTGGAGCTTCTCGAGGTCATTGTCAATGCGGAAGAGCTCAGGCATGATGCACAGATGGAGTTTGAGTCCCTGGAGGTACTTGATGCACAGATGCTTGAGGGGGTAGGTCACATTGGAAGCGGCGATGGCAGAGGTGAGTTTGTTAAACTGGGCTGAGTAGGCGTCTACCAGAGTCAGAATGCACCACCATGACTTGGGAATGCTACTCTGAGTGGATCCAGCAATCCTTCAGCTCCCAGCTCATGCTCACCCAGGCCATTGAGGCCATGGAGAACCTGTACCAGTCCAAATCTGCCAGTGCCAGGTGATGCGCGCGACAAAATCTACTCAAACCACATGACGTGCCCCCTCATCCTTGGCACACCTGCTCTATGGACTTCATGACCAAACTACCCTGCACTCAAGCTGGATACAACGCCCTCATGGTTGTTGTTGATTCAATGACCAAGCGCACTCGCCTAGTGCCCTGCCACACTACTTCCACTGCACGTGACATTGCGGATCTCTTTGAATGCCACATCTTTGTTCAACACGGTATCCCCCTCCACTACATCTCTGACCGAGACTCCAAGTTCACTTCCCACTTCTGGAAACAGCTCTGCCGTTCACTTAATGTCCAACTAACCATTGCCACTACTGCCCATCCTCAGACTGACAGCCAGACTGAACAGAAGAATGACTGGATTCTCCAAGCAGTCCGCCACTTCGTCAATTACCAACAAGATGACTGGGATCTCCACCTTGCCAAGGTCAAATTCAGCATCAATGACACCATCAACTCTTCAACTGGCAACACTCCATTCTTCCTCAAATTTGGTCACCATCCACAGTCCATCTTTAACATTGATTTTACAGTTTATTCTCCACTTTCCTTACAGGATCTCAAGGCTACCTACCAAGTTGCCAAGGACCGTATATAGGATGCACAAGATTGTTATTCTGCCATCTCTAATCACCGTCGCCTCCGTTCCCCTTTCCAAGTTGGAGACCTTGTCCTCATCTCTCTCAAGGACTTCAAGCCACCAAACATCCGCTACTGTCCCACCGACAAGCTCTCAGATCAATACACGGGACCCTACAAAATCACTGAACTTGTTGGAAATGCCCCTTCCTGCCAACTTGATATCCCTGATTCGTGGGATGTTCATAATGTGTTCCATCCAGAAAAATTGCGGCTCTACTACCACAATGAAAATTCTCACCCTCTTGATGCCCAGCCACTCGATCTCTGCACCATTGACAAAATTTTACATCAGTGAACAATTGATGGGAAATGCCAAGTTCTTGTCTCATGGAAGGACCACCACCCAGTTTTCAATTGTTGGCTTGACACAACTCCAGA